GGTGCATTAATACAGTTAACAAGTAGCGGAGGAGATCGGAGGAGCTCTTAAAGAAGAAGTTACAGGTCATGTAGAGCCAGAAATCTTTTGTTTGTAGTGAACAAATACTTTACTTTCCACGCATAATTTGCCAAATAACTCTTTAAAAATCAGACAATGTGATTTTCTGGATTTTTTTTTCTCATTTTGTCTCTCATAGTTGAGGTATACCTAGGATGAAAATTACAGGCCTCATCTTTTTAAGTGGGAGAACTTGCACAATTGTGGCTGACTAAATACTTTTTTGCCCCACTGTATTTGAAAACGGATGTCATTTTTGGCAATTAAATGAGCACGGAAAAAATATACAGTTATTGTATCGCCAACTTATAAGCAGCCTCTGACCAGTTGTACATTTTCGGCGACATGATGTACCTTTCTATCTTTTCATTGTGTGTCTGAAAGAGAATTTACTAGAATAAAATGCATCAGTAGGACCATAGACTGTATATATAAAGAGTAGGACACAGGCAGGCATTTATTTTTGAATGTGGCAGGTTAGATTTATTTTCCAAAAGTAAAATTCCTCAGGCTGACAACGGCAGAAGTAAATAGTGCCAGTTCCCTTTTTTCTTTAGAGACGTATTCTGTATCCATCCCTGTTTGTCAGCAGTAGTTCTTTGACTGTGTCAGGGCCAATAACTGTGTCACTTCCTAAGTGCACATGTTCATTGTGTCAAAGCTGTCACTCGAAACTGCCACATCTGCACCTCACAGGTCTGACCTCATCTTCCCAGACAGTGGGATGAATCCTGGTGGAAACGTCTCCTCCATTTTCACTGATTAAGCTTCTCACCGGTTAACAACGCAGAAAACAAACACAAGCCTTTACACACTCCTCTCTGCTCCTTCAAATAACGTTGTTCCATTATAGTGCCGTTATATTATGACAATTTTGAATTAGCAACGTTAAGGGAAGCAGCTAATGTGACCTTCATTGCTTCTTTTCTTTTTGAAACTCCTGTCTCTAGTGAACTGCAGAGGCGGTGCGCTGTGATTTGGTCGTCCTTCACACCAGGTGCTCTGTCCTTGCGGCAGGCAGTTCTCTGTCTTCTGTCTCTGACATATTCTTCTCTGTTCTCGTCTGCTCTGGTGTTTTTTTTCTATACAGCGAGCGAAGCTCTGCAGAGGGAGAGGGATGCAGTTATTTTCACTGTTTGCATTTTTCTTCTTTCAACATTTTCTGCTGTAGCTCACACATGAAAGCCTGCTGCAGACTGTTGTGTCGTTAGATTTGTGCTGAATGTCCTGTGTGTGTGTTGTTTGCGTACTTTGCATACATGTTTAGCTGTACCCAACCATGATAGATCCTGCTGCATCCGACTTTACACTCATTCCAAATTTGTAATTAGTGTGGGCTTCTCTGGAGTTCCTGGGCGAGTCTCATTAGTGAGGAGCCGGCGATACTCCTGCGCCTCTAATCTCTCTCTCTCCGTCTGCTGTCGTCCCACTGAGAATTCAGATCTCTATTAATTCATTTGACATGTTGATCCTTGTCCCTACCTCATAATTATTTCTTGTCCTGAAATAGTCTTTGTGGCCGGCTATATTCCTCTCTGTACAGCACCACCTCACCTTTCATGTTTGTATTACTAATGCCTGTTTCTGTGCTCTCCTTGTTTAGGTGACTTGGGCTGAGCAACAAGTGTCGAAAAAGAGGAAAAAGAGGGACATCTACCAAGAACCATCAGATCCCAAGTTCAGAGACCAGTGGTACCTGGTGAGTATAAACACTGCTGAACAGAAACTACCTTGAACAAAAGGCTGTGTGTTCTGTGTGCGTCGGTGGGACATTATTCAGCGCTGCACTGTGGTTGAGCTTTTTATCGACCCAAAGTCAATAAACCTAATTAAATTTGGGGGTTTGATGTTTCCCCCGAGTCAAAAGACAAGCGTGTATGAATCCAATATGCCATTTTTGTGCAAAGTGCTGTGGCGTGTCTTGTTTGCAGAACTCAAAGTCTAAGTGACTTCACCTGAAGGATTCAGATGAACAACAGCATGCATGCACACACAGAGCGCCTTTGACTTCTGTAGTGCATGCTTTTTAAAGTTGTTTGTATCTCCAAGAAACAAAGAGTGAAGGAAGAGGAACAGACAGAGGGGATTCACCTTGAATCGTTCTTGTTCTCAGTTGATTGATTTTTCCGTTTGACTTGAAGAATGTGACTGATACGCTGGCCTTTTTAAAAGCAGTAACAACCCCCAAGATTTTCTTTTAGGCTCCACTCTTCCTTCCATTACTCTGAAGTTGCTTCAGGCGGCAGGAAAATTCATGGTGATGCAAAGCAGACTTGCATCAGCAGTTGTTCAGTCTGTACTTTAACGGAGGCGGACTGACTTCCCCTGTGTGTTGGAGTAGTTAGCGCCAACTTGAAAGGCAAATGAGCAGATAAGAGCCGGCCGCCTGGTTGTATTAATGTTTCCACATAGATTGTGCCATACATCCACTACAGTTATTGGCATTTCAATGATGTAATAATCCGTCTTTGATGCATATGGGAATGGAAATAATTTTTGCAAAAATAAATGACTTCTTAGTATCTTTTATAGCTGCGGCTTACGATTATATGCATTATCAGTTCATTTGCTAAATGTTTATTGATTAATGCTTTTGTTGTTCTAAAATGAGAACAAATGCCCATCAAAAAGTAATTATTTTTTCCAGCCAACAGTTTAAAACCAAAAATGATTATCACTGTCTCATACATTAACATTTTTACCACAGAAAAAGGCAACACATGTGAGTCATTTTAATTGGTTTGCATTACTAAAATAGTTGCTGTGAAGTCTTTAATGGACTCATCACATAATCCATGCAGCTTCACCATCGTTTGCTGGCACACTGTTAACCCAGATAACAAACGTCTAATAAAAGAAAAATGTTAAAGACGATTACTTAACCTAATCTGCTGATATTTATGAACACGATGCACTCTGGTATTTTCTTAGAGGTGCTGAACCTGTGTGAGTGGGAAGCATCAAAATAAAGATTGATTTCTATTTCTAAGTCTGTGTGGGCATCCCATGAGATTGCAAAGCTCATTAAAACAGCAAAAGACGTGAAAACTGGAGCACCACCTTGCTAGTCTCAGATCCTTCCACTCTTTATTATTCCGTAATGAGCTTTAAGCAGAATATAAATGTCCCCTTCTTAACAAAGTGTTAACACTTTAGTTGATAACAAACAAAACCAGATTGATGAGCATTAATCAAGATGAAGCTTGTGGACACGTCACACACTGTGCAAATAAACAGATGATAATTTATTTTGATGTTCAGAAGTCTAAAGATGTAACAGAGGATTTCAGGTTTTAGGCATCTCTCCCTGTGCCTCATTAAAAGTGGACCTGGCTGGCCAGAGGAGAGAGTGGGTGTGTTGTGGTGTCCTTGGTGGACAGGTGCTAATGGTCAACACCTGCTATAACAATGAATATTTCATATTGTTCAGATATTTACCTAAATGATGAGACATTGTAAATCATGGTCAAGCCTCAAAGCAGCTCCCAGGCTCGAGTGTGCAGAAGGAATACTTTCATTACGGAAGAAAAAGGACTCACTTGATGAGCAATATTTAAAATGTTACATTACCATGCCCCTCAGGCTGAGTGTATAATAAATCTGTCAGCCGCAGAGGGCATTTGTAATTTAAATCAGCAGTGAATATCACAACTCGGATTTAATTGATATTATTCTTGATGGTTATAGTGTCAATGACATTACAAGGCTGAAGAACAAAACATAATCCTATCTGATTCACTGCATTTAAAAAGGTCTAGAATCTAAGAGTGGTGCATCAGACACACTATATTTAATTGAAGGCACACTTTAAAAAGAAAAGCTTTGATCTTGATTAAAGCCAGAAATAACTTTTGACCAAATGTCAAGTTGAATGTCAAAATCATATCAAAAAGCATAACGAATGATTAGTGTGCCACGATCCAGTTCAGCTGTGCTTAGTTGATATTAATAATAAATGCAATAAAAGCTAGCATGGCATTGCTGCTTTCAGGGGAGAGATGCTCTCTGTAACCTTGCAATCCCTCCGCCACTCAATTAGAAACTTTTGCTTTTCATTAAGGAAGAATGACTAGCTGCTCCCTTGTCCTCCGTGCTTCAGTCTTCATCAGATGTCTTCATTCAGGCGTCTGAAATGTTTCTTCAGGCCAAGGACCCCATAGCTTAAAGAGAGAATGAGTTGCTAACTACATGTGTATCAAATATGCATATTGATCTGGCCCAACAATAATGTAAAGTGCCATGCATAAATATAAAATAGTTCATGGGGCATATAATACTGAGTTTCATGGGTAACATTTAAACTATCAAAAAAGCTGTGTAAAGCAAACCACTTTTTTATTTCTACTAAAATGAATTTATTTGTGATAATAATATCAGCCCACTCTCCCCCTGCGGTAACTCTGAGGACACTTCAAGGATCCACCTTGCTTAACAATTAGAGTATGCCAGTCCAGATTTAGTTAAGAGCACATTCTTGTCAGCAATCAGGTGTCTGTCAGATAATTGGATTCAATCTAAGCAACTTGTCTTCTCCGTCCTCAGTACAACCCAAACCACCGTGACCTGAATGCCAGATCTGCGTGGGAGTTGGGCTACACAGGTAAAGGAGTGGTGGTGTCCATCCTGGATGATGGAATAGAGAAGAACCATCCTGACCTAATGCAAAATTACGTGAGTATAACTCCTAAATAAAGCATGGTATGTTATCCACAGTGAGGATAAGACAAGAATGGAGATAATCGAGCAGATTTTCTATAACAAATAGTCTCTTCTTGTATGTGTGCTGAGACTGATATTTAGAACGATTTACATACAGACAGATTTGAAGGTTTTGCATTTTGCATGTAGACGATAGATTGAAGTAAATGAATGGATCACACTGACCTCGGCGTCTTACTATAACGGCTTATCTACGCCTTTATTTAGGACCCGGATGCCAGCTACGATGTGAATGATGGCGACCCAGATCCCCAGCCCCGATACACGCAGCTTAATGACAACAGGTACACATCTACACAAATAACAACTCCATGTTAACTCTTCTCTCTGCCTGTTGGTTTTCTCCATCTGTGTTTTCTAAATGCCGGCAGGAGGGGTGAAATGTTCTCTAATTTGTCCCCCTCACTGTCTGATACCTAGCTGTTTATAAAAAGGCTTTATGTCTGGGGCACCATTTATGTGAACACAACTAACTAAAGGCCATTGTCTATGGGGTTTGTCAAAGTTATTTTGGTTTTTATTTACAACATTTTTGTGGTTTTGCTCTGGGCTGTTAAACCACACAGGCGCCACCAGTCTATTTCTAAAGCCTGCGTGAGGAGAGTAAATCTAAACTGGGATTAGGGTAGTGTGTGAAGAAAACAGCATTATTGCAGTAGCCTCTGCATATGGCATTAGGACTTGTTTACCACCACAGTGATGTCTTGTAGAGAATTGATTAAATTAAGTTCATCAGCATTAATGAAGCAGAGAAAATCTCTTGGCTCTGGAGGGCCCTTGATCGTCTTCCTTCATTCTCAGCGCCTGCCTCCTGTGTGACGTTAATTTCTGATTCGCTGTAATCTGCTGTTTGTGGGCAACTGGCCTGAGAGGCTTTTTTATTTAGAGGCTCACCATGATTACTGGTGATGGGCACGAGAGATTATACTTCTACAAGGTTGGAAATAAAACATCGCCATCAGAGACAGGGGCCAGAATCGGGACCATGAATAAGGAGGCCTGAGGGATAGTCAGAGCTGTTACTGTAACTACGCCAAAGCTGTAATAACTCCTTAAAGGCTTTGTGAGACTTATGAGAGGTGGAGGCTGATTGTAGAGGCTGTGTTGTTGTTCTCATAATTAAAATTGAGAACACTACTTTGGGGCAGAACCTCCCACACACAGACAGAATAATCATTAAAAGTTTTGATAAACATTGAATCAATGCAAACAAAATGTTGTCGTCTTCTTATTCAGCCCTGTGTGTTCAAGATTTTGTGCCAGTGCCTCAAACTGTTTTCACCGTCACTATCAAACAAACCCTAAATGATGGCGTTTGTTGTGGAAGAATGTGCAAGAACATCCCTCCGGCTCCACAGATCTGAAATCTGTGCCAATGCACGCTTAAGCTCCTTTGGTGGCTCCTAGTGGCCCAGAGCCCAGCTAAGACACTCACTATTGATGTTTCCTGCTTTTGGCTGCACCTCCTTCTAACCCTCACTCACCTCAGCCCTTATCTCCTACCAGCCGGCTCTCCGTGTCTTCCTCGTGGCAGGACCAATTTAGAGCGAGACTATTTGTGCTGTTGTGTCTCTGTGCCAGTTTCTCTCACTTTACGCTGGGTTGGTGCAGATGCATGTGTAAACAACCCGTGGGCGGGCAAGAACATGCGTAAGGTTTTTGTAGGACTGTAAGTGTCTGTTCCCTGCAGAAAGCACAACTCTGTTCACCTCCACAAGGCTGCCTTTCTATCCCAGCATGCGGGCAGCAGGGAGGATGGCTCGGTAGCAATGTGGCCATTCACCCTCATGTTTATCTAAGATGGCATGTGATCTAGATGTTTTACTTTCCAGGGTTTACCCCCTCTGGATCCTATCAAGACGGTGTCCAAATGTGCATATTTTGGATTAAAACTGGCTCAACAGGGATGGAGTAATATTATCTTATATATATATTATTTATTTTTTTGGACAAATATTCAATTTATCGCCCCCTGATTAGAGAAATACTAACTTTTAACATAAACAGTTGGAGTCTGAATCCAGAATTCATAAATATGAGTTGCCAAGCGGTGGATAGAGGGCCCTTTTCAACATTACTGCAGACTGATTCATTCTCAGACGGTCCTACATTAATATCTCCCTGGATATTTTCCTTCATATTACCCTCTCTCATCCTTTGTCCAAACGGCCAGCTCATTACTAACCTGGCAGTACCATTAAGAGACTTAAGAATAAGCAGAGCCCAACATTTGTTCAAATGTACCTTTGTGGTTTAGTGCAACCCCGAGACTAATGAACAACAAAACCCACAATGCAGGGCCTCGAGAGCCTCCATGATTTAAAAAAAAGAAATTAAGTTAATGTGAGATAAAACAATTTCAGGGAATGAAGGATTTTGTGTGCCAGAGAAGTGGGTAGAGATAAAAAGATCAATGCAATGTTGGACAAGTACATATTTCATTGAAATGTCTTAAATGGTTATGCTTTGATAGAGCTTTTAGCTGAATTTATGTACAACTTCGAAGTCTCACAAAAATCCTTCTGATATAAATGTTTAATGAAATGTTTTAAATTCTGATACCAACAGCTATAATAATTTAGCAATAGTGTAGTCTTTTTCTTTGTTTGTATGCTTGGTTAAATGTCCTTTCAGCCATCTTGTGGTGAAGTCACTCATTTGTATGTATCTCAATGTTCAGGAGCCACCTTTAGAACTGGTCAAGTATCACTTTTTGCACAGGGCACCTGAGAGGATTGCTGTTTACGTAGCACAAGAAAAATTGCAGAATCAGTTCTTTATATAATGAGCTCAAAAGCTGCTTTGTGCCATTTTATTTTTTGTAATGCACTATTTGCCAAGTGCCGGTTTGGGTAAACACTTTCCCCATCTCTGCACTACAGCTGTATGACAATAGCATGTCTCTTTAGCAAGCCTCCAGAGAGGGGCGTTTTAGGGTTCTGCACGGTGATAATGGTTCTGCAAGCTGTGCGTATGAATACTGATAGTGTTGTTGGCCTCGGGCCTGCAGCCGACTTTAGCTGCTGTAACCCGAGTCAGTCTCTGTGCCTAGAATCTGCCGCGGGGTTGTTCTCGCTGTAATTGAAACAAGACTTAAATTGCTCTTTGTTCACCTTAATCTCCTATTATCACCCTTATGTATGACGACAATGTTTTACATGTTTTGAAGTTTATACACTTTCTTTTCCAAGAAGTGAGGTTCTTTTTCAATGAAGGTTTTGTTCAGAGGAATAAGTGCAGGCATTAAGTGTTTCAAATAAAAAACACATTGCAACTGCTTTAGTAAATCTGTTGACATGAAAAATGAAGTTGTTAGCAGTACAGGCAGTACGCACCTATGGGCTTTCTGGGACAGTTTTTGTTATCTTGAAACTGATGCTTGCACACACTAATCGATGGTTGCTTCGTTTAGTTTTAGTTTTCTATACCAGTGGGTTATTAATTGTATCTCAGCTTGTTGTGACATGAAAGAGGAAGCACAACATGACGGTGCTGATTACAAGTACTAGATATCTCTAGTACACACTGGAAGTGTTTACCAACTTTTATTTCCAGCAAGTAGTTAGGGAATTGATAGGATTTCATCTTTACTAATTCAATTTACAATTCCTGATCAATTGTTGGGTGGAGAAAGATTACACAAGTGTATTCTTGCAACCATTTTGTGAGTTTCTTTCCTCCCAATAGCTCCAGTCAATGAAAAATGAAAAAATGTTTTACGTCATCGTTTCAGAAACATGACTGTTGCAAAGAATCGATAGAAGCGGAGACAGGTGATTCAAAAGAATTGGAAAACTTGAAATGGGTTCTTAAAGGGAACAGCAGTGTTTAGTTGTAGGATAATTACAGGGTCATTGCATGGGCTCTGAAGTACAACCATTAACAGAATGTAATATTATGAATCCTTAAACATCTCTTATTGTATACCTGCTGTGTTATCTGTCTTCTTAAATTAGTCACTACAGCGTATGTTTTTTACTTTGTAGTTAATTTGTGTTGTTTCACATAGTGAGCTACTTTATTCTGTCACCTCGTGACTGAAGTCCGAGAGTCCTTCAGTGTGAAAGGCAATCTATTAGGTAGTTATTACAGCAGGGATCATTAATCAGTGTGACTTGTTAACAATGCTGTACTTGTAGTGACAGACAGTCCATTGTCCCTGCAGACAAGCTCTGTTTCTCTGGAGCACTTCATGTGATCTCTGCGCTGTGCTGTCACCTCTTAAGCCTCCTCTCTGAAGGGATCCAGGTCTGGTTTCATGTGATGTCAGCAGATCAGTACAGATGTGTGAATACACACAAATTGAGTCATTCAGTCATGCCTTGGCCTCATTGTCAAAAGACTGGCAGCTCCACAGGTTCCTAATTATATTTGGTGTTGTTCTGCATTTAGGGAATTGGGCTGGACACTGTTAACATTAATACAGTGTGTGAAATGTGTCATTTAAATTAAAAGTAACCAGTTTAATGAAGCATCATAATGGGTTGCAGTAGTAGCAGTAGTAGTATGCATGCATGTAACTGTGATAAACAATGTTATCATATTTTATTTTGTTATTAGCATTAAATAAATTCCAACTATGTTAAACAATTACCTAATTTCACACTTGTTTGTTCTGGAGCTGGACTAAATGTAGTTTTAGGGTTTAAAAAGCAGACTACCCATTATAGGTGGCCAGTGAGATGAAACTATCATGGTTTGTCGATGGAGAGTAAATCGTTAAAGTAGGTTTTTTTCTTTCTTGGTTTTCGTTTAATGTTATTTAGAATATATTTTTTTGCCTTTACGCGAGGGCTGCTCTCACGAGAGAAATTGACCCAGAGATGCACTCTTCTTCACATTGACCTTAACAGTGAGTGGGAGCTGTAAAAGGATATCTTCCTGTATCCATTTTATCTCTCCCCGGATGAAATCCCTCTCAAAAACATGATTATGCAAGTCGTTCTTGCATAATCAGATTCAGAAAGCGAGAGCTTTACCTCCAATACCATTTGTATTCCATGAATCAGTCTACCATGTAAGTGACTGTAATGAATGTGTCAGAGGAAGATTTGTAAAGCGTCTCCGTTGAACACTGGGGGTATAAGCCTGTGCATGCCCAGCATCCCATCACAGACACCTGAGCTCTCCTTATCATCCGCTGCATCACAAACACGGACGCTGTAGGACAAACGGCTCCCAAAGTCAACAGGCCAGCACTTTCAGGAATGTCGAGATAAGGTTCTCTGGAAAATCATCCAGATGACATTTGTGTGTCTGTCTCTGTGTGTGTGTCTATAAAGATGTTTTTATTAGCATGCTGCAGCTGAGGCTCTGTCTCTATTTAACTGACTTCCTGTGACACGTTGGAGACGCGGTGCCAATGTTGACCGTGGCATTGACTTTAACCTCCACCCTCTCTGCTCATCAACGTGTCGAAGGGAGCAACAGATGAATTACAATTCTCTGACCGTCTGTCATCATACCTTTGTCTTTAATGGAAGCAGAAGTCCTAAATGTTAATACAAATAGTTAGTCGATAAATCTGGTTTGAGGCTTCTGTGACCTCTGACCTCTAGTTTAAATTCGACTTCAATATGGTTGATTAATGAATTTCTGAAAAGAGGCTTAGTAGGACAGTCAGAGAATACATATGATTGAAGGATTGCCTGCTCAAGGCTCTCAACATGACGCTGGCTTAATGAGGCCCAGCAGCAATTGAAGCTAACAGCAAAGGATGCTAACACTGCTGACGGATCTAACAGTGTTAACCAGGGGGGCTTGAAATCTGAGGGTGAGCATTACCCAGGAAATACAGCACAATGTTATCAGTGGTAACAGGCGCCGTTTGAGTCCTCTACCGAGTGGCAGCCATTAGCTAGCCAGTGGGACAAACATGGACTCTAGCACAAAATGTCTCTGTAGCCGGCCTGGCTACATAAACAAAGAACACAGAGGCATCGAATTCCAACACACATGGAGGGTTGACTTCATTCTCTGCTGACTTTACTCCACTGTATCTCTACAAAGAAAATAATTGTTTGCTCTATTTTAATGTTTTAAATTATTTATTTAGCCTATACCTTAAATACTCACATTAGCATAATAGCACTTCTGGCTGGTTTACTTCAGAGGATATGAAAATATCCTGAGAGCAGATACAACCTGTGTGTCATGGGAAGCCGCTGATGATGTTTGTGTATTTGGTTTGGCTGAATACCCAGAGCTCCTTAATATAACCCTGCTGGTGCTTCCTTCAGTATTGAGGGTCCTCTGTTTTTCTGTTGTTTCCTGATGCGGCACAGTGTTGCCCTGGCTCCAGCATTCCTGTCTGGGAATGGCTGAAATCCAGTGGGGATTGCGCCATGGTTTGAAATTCATCCATCTGGCAGACCAGGGGAATGCACCTGACAGGAGTGTGATGATCCGCCTCTCTGTAGCAGCTTCTTGGATCTCCACACTGAACTGCCTCGAGCTAGATCTTACTACAGAGGCCCAGGCTTAATGAAAGACCCATCGGGAAAATTACAAATCTAATTCTCAATTTCCTCCCGTGTGTGACGGGACTATGTCATCTTATTTCCCTTTTTCCTTCTCTTGATTCCGACACTGTAGGCATTTCAAGGTTACTAATGCTAGAAAGCCATATATATTGTACTAAGTCTCCACTTATCGGCTGAATGTTTTCTTTAAGACGAATGGGAATCAGATGTATTTAAAGGGATGAAAGCCAACAAGCTGTCTGAATGAGTTTGTTTTACCACGGTCTGCAGCACGACCTCTGCGGTAAAGAGCACATTCTCTCACAATCAACCGCTGTTAGATATGTACACTACCTGTCTGTGTGTATACAGTAAATGTTCTGTTATAAAGGGAATGACACTTACAAGGATAAATAGTTTCCTTAAACCTACCTCTTGCTTTCTTCCTCCTTTGCAGGCATGGAACACGATGTGCAGGAGAGGTGGCAGCGGTAGCCAACAACGGGATCTGCGGAGTCGGTGTGGCATACAATGCCAAGATTGGAGGTGAGGTTAAATACAGACAGGTTAAGACAGATTGATTTAATCTCACCGGGCCAAACCTCGGTTTTATCTCCGTTTTCTTTTTTGACTGCCAGAATATTTGAAATACTGAAATACAGTGTTATTTTCGGTCGATTTCCCAGGCACAGCAAGCTTCTGAATCTGTCTGAACATCACCACAGTTGTGATGGGGATTGCCAACTCTCTGTAACATCATTAGTACATCACTGAGTAACAGTATTGAAAAAGCAGCGGCACGCAGTTTCAGAAATGATTTGGTGCCATAGCTTTTAGGGAATCTGTGTTAAATGAATGCCAAATGTAATGCTCTTGTCTTGTTTGCAAGTCAAATGGCTGATTTAACTCTTTTCTAATGTTCCAGTAGATCATTTAGTGCAGGCAGAAGATGATATGAGTTCTGTCCTTGCCAGCGTTAACTCTTTACAGATATCTGGTTGTGCTGGTGGTCTCTAAAGTAAGAGAAAATAAACTTTTTAGATTTGGTATGAATTCAAAATTGCTATTTTTATAGTCTGTTGAAGGCCATATAAGATTAGCCAGAATACATATTTGGCAGGATCTCAGTCCCCCCCCCCCCCTGCTGTAATGACAGCCCCTGCTGCTCTTGAGTGATGCATGCTTCAAATCTGATGGTGTCTGGCCAATCAAATGCCATCTCCCAATGTCAGTCAACCTCTCAATGTGTGCAGGTGGGCAAGTTTCTCATTTCCATATTGTTTTTGTGTCTGAATGATTTCTGTTCTCTTTCTGGCTTTGCCTCTCTCATTGTTGGTTAAATGACTACAAAAACTCGAAAGACTCCTGATAATTGATCAAACGTTGTCATTTTTAAAGCAAAATGCCAAATATCTTTTTGTGGTAGCTTCTTTTATGTGAGGAATAGCTGCTTTTAATCTTTATAAATTGATATTTACAGACATCACATACATGTAGGGTTCTTGAACATTTGTCATGAGTTATTTTTATTTCTGTCTAACATTTTCTTGTTAAATGAATTAGCTGAGAAATGAATGGCATATTACTTGACAATCACAATAGTAGTTACAAGGCAAGTATGGAGACAAGGAGAAAGGGATCACAACTGAATTAACTGTGTTTGTAGATGTTTTGACTGAAAATCTTGCAGAGAGCTTTAGGCCTCATCGCAATCAGGCATAATAAAAAGATGAAACAAACGCTTGAGTTTCAGATCTGTTGGAGACAAAACAGACGGGGGAATCTGTTCATTTATGAGAAGATACAAAATATGTGAGACTGGAAAAATATTATGAAATATTAATGTGTTTGCTGCTCTAGTTTTCACCCTGAAGAGTTTTTTCTCACTGCCTACAGGGGGAACAGTTTTGTAGTTTCTGTTCCCGTTCTTCAAATAAGCTTTTTTCGGTTGATTTGTATATTTTATTTTCTCATTGTAAACAGTTTATTTTATTTTACATTACATGTCACTTGTTAGACGCTTTTATCCAAAGCGACTTACATACTCAATACTGTGGACAATCCCCACAGGAGCAATTTGGGGTGAAGTGTCTTGCCCAGGGACACAACGACATGCTGACTGCAGTGGGGTTTGAACCTGACCCCCTGATCCGAACACCAACGCACAACCCACTGCACCGCACTCCGCCTTATTAAGGTTTTATTCCCTCCATGAAGTTGAAGCCACATATCAAGACTAAAGTTAGTTGATGGTGTCGTCACATCACTGGTACAGTTGAACATGTGTTTTATATTTGTGATTGCTTCTGTCTTGTTCCTGTGCTGAGGGTTTGTTGTAATGTCTGACTCCAGGATTGTGTTGTCTTTTGAACCGAGGAGCGGCTTTATCCCAGTGTATGCTTTCTCATTTCCTCTCTGCTTATCTCAATAGCCTCCGGCATACTTTTAGCTCTCATAAAGTTCGAACCCCTCATTAAAGTGGCATATAGAGAAAAGATTTTTGATGATTCCAGATGGTAAGTGGGAATATACAGCACGGCATTCAGCTTCTCTATAATGACTAGTGGGCTGTGTGTGATCATGTAGGTGGAGGCCTAGTGCTGTGAAATCCTTCACATGTGGATTTATCCACACTCAAGGCTCTCTCCGATGGTAGGATGAGAAACTCAAACAAAGAACAGACACTACATAGAAATTCTTTCAGCGTGTTTGTGTTTGCGTTTCCTCTACAGTTTGAAGGCTGTGAAGCTTAGCTAAAGCAAGACAAGAGAAAGAGCACGTCGTCTAAAAATGGATCTTGTTTTTCTTAGTCCTTCCTGGCAATGCCAACTCCACAAAATCAGTTTCAAGATAAACTTTTGCAGACTGGAAACATTGTAACTTAGGTTATACAAATATTTTATTCAAATATTATTTTCAGGTATAATTTACTTTCAAAACTTGCCCCTAACATTTGAACCTTGAATGTCTTAATTCTGACGGTAATCAAACCTCGTAAAAAGGTGTAAGGTTCAAGTTTGGCCTTTTTCCCCAAACACAAGTTCTTTAGACATACCGAAACGTTCACTGAACATTAAACTGAGACTCTCAGAGCACAGAGTCACACAAGAGTCCTTAAAAAAAAACGGAGCTGGAAGCCCGACCGACAAGCAGCATTCTCCAGAACAGCAGAAACAAAAGGCAGGAACTCAAACTGTCATGTTAAATCCAAAGCAGCAGCACTTATTCAGGCCATCCTATTCATCTAAGTGGCCAGGGAGAATGTATTGGGAATGCGGAGGGAGCGGTGCAAAAGCTTCTGTGAATCCTCTTCGCTCAACATCCCTTGAAACTTGACCCCATGCCACCTGCCGTTCTGTAGCTCATCACTCTCAAAACACTCTGGTGAAATATCTCAAATGCAATTTCAAACACATATTGGCTGGCTTGGATCTTCCAATATTCAGTGATTTTTGGGAGTAAAAGTAGAGTTTCAGGTGAGCTGAAATAAAAATGGAGCTCCAACCAAAGTCCAATTAATTAAACATTACTGTAGGTTGTCTGCTCAGAGCTGCTGTTCAACACGTCGGGATTGGCGCTTATTGACTTTCTTGCCAAGAGTTAGATGAGACGATCGATACTGCTGTAATATCTGTCAGTGTAGTTTTATTCTGCAGCCTCATATCAAACCACATCCTGTCGTTGTTAATAGTCTTTATTCTAAGCTTAACTAACTAGATGTAGCCTCATATTTGCTCTACACATCAAATTGGTCTTGTCTATAGAGCTAGGCAGTATGGCCAAAATATTCTATCATGATATGGGTCATTTTATATCTTGATTAGGTAATATATAATACATTGAACGTAAAATAGCAAACAAAACCGAGTCTCTAAATGATATGAGCACAACATATTTCCCTTAGATGTTCTGATCAATTTAAAGTAATATTAACGTTATTTTTAGACGACATACTTTTGTAACACATCTCAATATATTTTATTTCATCATGATATGATTCCATTGAAATATACAAATGTAATAATCACCTAGCCATACATTTACCTCTGTAAGAAAGGGAATACGTTTACTGTATTTCCCAAAAAGTTGAACTGTGCTAGAATGTTCTTTACCTGCATGAAATGAAATCCCATATAGAGAGATGTGCCCGACAACATACTATCATTTACATTTCAACCCCAGTAGTTGGTACATTTAAATGCTAAATGTACTTAAGCTTAAATATGATCTGAGAGTTATTGAACGATCTACGATGAGCTCCTGATCTCGGGATAGACGGATATTATGGCTGAACAATCCTTGAACCTCTTGATGAAAAACATGGCCCTCCTGCAGAAGTACAGGCTGCCATGGAAACACTAGCAGCCTGTTTGATGCTTTTGGAGGACTTCAAAGAGCACGTGCTTGGTTACTCTAACCCATATAGAGCAGCATGGAGTAACCTGACCTGCAATGCATCAAAGAGAGACATTTGTTTGTTTTTCAGGTGTCTTTGATATCTCACCACTCTCCCTCTGTGAAGGAACTTGAGGACAAGCACCGACTCTCTGTTTGCCCTCCCTGCTTTGTTGTGTTGTGTGTTATCTGTGGTACAGCTCTTCATCAATAACCATTGATCTCAATGAACCTTGGCTCAGTTGTTCACTTCTTTAGAAATAAGTCTGATTCAATTTACACTTGATCAGTTACACTGATTTCATCAAGACACATAGAGGGAGACATCTAACATTCATCTGTTTATCTAAACTTGACTGCCTCTGAAGTCTGCTGCAAACTTGACGAAGGCAGTTCACCCACAATGCACTGGATTTTCTTATTTTTTCTGTTTTTTCCGAACGAGCTCAGGCTCCAAAGCTTTGATTTACATGGTGGGGGCTATAAGAAGGTCACAGTATATGCACAAATAAAAAACACCAGCAGTGTGTGCCGTGCAGTCTAATGTGAGCGGTACAAATACACACAGACAATGTTTAGCTTTGCAAACAAGAGTGTAAATATGCTACTCAGACTCCATCGCAGCAACATTGGTTTGATCGAACACATGTCAAACGATGCTGGACATGAGCTACAACACCAGCAACTACATCACTGAGCTGCAGACTAAGAAGAGCTACAGATTCCTGAGATTCTCATCACCTGCAGCACCTTTTACATTTCTTATTGTGGCCTTTTTTGTGGTAAAGAAAAGTGCTGTTTTGACATTGCACTCATAAGACCTTGGTACACTCATATTTATGATATTTAGAACAACTAAGGAAAGATCCAAATTGATGCAACAGCTTCAGAGATATTGACTTTTTGGTTTGTAACTTTAATGTTTCTATTCAAAAGCTGGCACCTACTCAAAGTGCAAGTTGGCTGACCAGAGTTTTGTGTTTGTTATGGTAGCCGAGTGTCTCTTCTCCAATCCCTTTGGTTCTATGTTTATTAGGTTTTCATTATATTATTAACCTTAAAAAATCTGTATGTACTAAGAAAACCTTTTGTCATTGTGTATTCAGGTGTGCGTATGCTGGACGGAGAGGTGACTGACATGGTGGAGGCCCAGTCCCTCAGTTTGAATCCCCAACACATCGACGTCTACAGCGCCAGCTGGGGCCCGGAGGACGACGGCAAAACTGTGGACGGACCTGCCAAACTGGCCAAAGAAGCTTTTCTGCGTGGAGTTACAGAGGTTTGTGTTTGAGAATCTTTGTGTGAGACTGAAATTATTTACTGCCTGTGTGTAACTTCCTTTTAGCGGCCAGTAATTGAACTGTTCAAGCATGAGAGGACACACAAGCGGGAAGAACAAAGCAATTTATGACCCTGACAATTATGAATGGAAGGGAATGTCCGCTAAAAGCCACGACGGAGTAAAATCTTTAAAAGTTAATAGAAGAAGGTGCACTGAGAGAAATTAAGTATGAATAGTTTTTGTTAGTTGAAAGGTGCTTCTTTAATTGCAACCTCTTTTATCTCAACTCTTTCAATCTGTCAGCAGAGGCATTCAAGTGTGTCTGAAAAATAAATAATTTCAATCATACGTTGTCTGTGAATTACTGATTCAAACCTATTGTTCAGTTTGAACTTATTGAGTAAAAATAATCAGACTTTCAAACACATTGCAGAGATTTAAAAAGGGGTCATTCTGAAAACTCTTCTATCAGCATTTGAAAACATGGCAGCGCTTGTTTTATTGCACAGGACCGTGTCAGATATGTAAAACGAGCAAGTGAACCGAATAGATCAGAGCACCCCATGAATAAACACATCCATCCACTCTCACACTGGCTCTTGTTATACAGCAGTAGGACTCCGGGCCTGTGCCACAAAGCTGATTGAAAGCGCTGACACTGACTACTAAGATAATTGCCAGAGTGACAGTGCTGTCAGATGTTGTTGTGGGTGGTGCTTTGCCGGGCTTGATCAATGCAGAGAGAAATGGTCTCACTCAATACGATAAAGCGGCTCTTAGATGAAAATTATTGCACTTCAAAGGCTGAGAGGTTGGATGATTTATCACAATGAGCTGTTGTCATATGGAGCCTTTCTGTATTACATTGCTGTCCTGCGATGTTTAGCTGTGTATAATTTACTGAGTGACCACCCCGGCTTCTGTGATGTATGCTGCCTTTTAACGGGCCCCTTTTCAAACGAGTCCTCAAATGAATTTCCTCCCTATAATTGGGATTCCAATGAAACATTGAATGAGATTTTGTCCTTTCCTGGTCAAAGGCATGAATGAATGAATAAAAGAGTCAGTGTTTTGTTTGTCTAAATCAGTGGTTCTCAAAGTGGGGGGCGCACAGGCATGCCAGGGGGGGCGCAAGAGACCAGGAGGAAAAATGGTTATATAAAAAAAAAAAAAAAAGATTAAAAAGAAAATAATATTTTTTGGGAAAAATTATTGATTCGAAAATAATACGATCCAGTACAGTACTATTACGTCTGGGTCTCTGTGTTTCATTGAAGCTCGACTCTGTTTGTGCGTGTGGAACGAGCCATTTTGTGTGCGTGCGCGAGAGAGAGCGCACTGTACCGGAGATCGTTGTTGTTAGCTTCTGGTGCTAGCGAGCTACGCTAACGGATATAAGGAGTTTTTTCAACAACAAAGTGGAGGACTGTCAGAATGAGAGACTCAGTGAACTAAAGGACTCTCAGTGTTATCTCAGTGGGTCTCAAATGTTTTGGTCACCATTAATGTAAACAATTATTTCTGAGGCACACCTTTATATGATCATTATAGTTATAACAAAATAAGAGAATGAAAAACAGGTATAAAATAGTATATGACAGTAAAACGAGAATAAAGTTTAAAAGGGTGATTTTTAAAATATCCATAAAGAAAAAGTAAATCTGTTTACAGTTCTGTTTTAAGTGGGTGGTGTTGAGAGAGGTATCCATAGATCTCTTCACTTTGCTCTCAAAGTGCACCAGATTGATGCTTTTAACTTCAATAATTAAAAATAAATCTTCCCGGGGGAGCTTGCC